CAACTGAGGTTTTCTGAAGGGTTTTATGTTACTTATCATTAAGTGGTTTTTGTTGTTTGTTGTTTAGTTGCTCAGTCTGTCCAATTCTTTGCGATCTCAGGGGCTGTAGCCCTCCAGGCACCTCTGTCCTTGGAGCAGGTTGCCACTTCCTCCAGGGGATCTTCCCGACCCAGGGATGAAACCCGCGTCTCCTGCATTGGCAGGTGGATTCTTAACCACTGAGTCACCTAGGAAGCCCCATCATTAAGTTAGAGGGAAACAGATGCTGATGCTAATATTTGTCCTAAATGCAGCCTGGCTGTAGTCATAGCAGAATTCATGGTGGTTTTGATAAAGGGCTGTGAATCCTTCTGTTACATGACATGTTCTCTTACCTGAAGCAGCCAGTCCTTAAAGAGGCATCTCCATCTCTCCAGGGTGTGTGTTTTATCCATTTTGTATTCTTGGAGAGTCTAGCCATTGTTTACCTTATAGAAGATAAATACAGACTGATGCTACACCATGCTGGGAATGTCTGCCTAGTCTCAGATCACCAAAAAGAGTGTTTTCCCTCTTTGTCTTTTGTTCCCAGCTTAAAAAATCAGTTGCGTTTTTTCAGTTTTATTGAGGTATAACTGACAAATAAAATTATAAGATATTTAAAGTACATGGCATGATGATTGGATAAACGTATCTGTCGTGAGAGAAAGAACTGAATAGTTGTGCATATGATATTTGAAATTGTATCCAGAATTTCTAAGATGTTTTTAATCATGACAATTTTGTAGATAGAATTGAGTACTAATAACAAAGTAGATTCAGAGCAAAAGAAATGCAGATCACTTTACATCAGTAATTTCAAACTCCAAGAAATAAAATGACTTTTAAATGAATAAAACAAAGATTACGTTTTGAAATAATAGGTTTTATTTTTAGAGCAGTTTTAGATACACAGCAAAATTAAGCACAAAGTATGTGGAGTTCTCATCTACCACCTGTACCCACATATGCACAGCCTCTCCCACCATTAACATCCCCCACCCAAGTGATACCTTACAACTGTGAACCTATATTGACACATCATTGTCACCCAAAGTCTGTAGTTTGCATTAGGCTTCACTCTCGGTCTTATACATTTTATGGGTTTTGACAAATGTATAGTGTCATGTATCCACCATTATAGTATCATACAGAATATTTCACTGCTCTAACCATCCTCTTCCCTTTCTGTCCATCCTGTGATTCCTCTCTCCCTCCTCACCAATAGTAATCACTAATCTTTTTACTGTCCCTATACTGACTGATCTTTTTACTGTTTTGCCTCTTTCAGAATGCCATATAGTTGGAATCATATAGTATGTAGCCTTTCAGATTGGTTTCTTTCACTTAGTAATATGCATTTAAGGTTCCTCCATGTCTCTTTATGGGCTGATGGCTCGTTTCTTTGGCGCTGAATAACATTCCATTGTCTGGATGTACCACAGTTTATCGGTTCACCTACTGAAGAACCTCTTGGTCACTTCCAAGTCTTGGCAATTACGAATAAAGCTGCTCTAAACATCCCTGTGCAGTAGCACCTCACACCCACTGCTATTGTGGACATGTTGGCTGCAAAAGTTTGGTCACACTGTTTTATATTTTAAGTGTATGTGTCCTTTAGAAATACAATATTTATCTTTATGGATTAAAAAATAACTCCTTTGCAAGTTTTTGTGTCCAATAAGTTTTCAACTCTTTGAGTAAACAGCTAGGAGTATAACTACTGGAATATATAGTAAGAAGATGTTTAGTTTTATAAGAAACTGCCAAACTGTCTTCCAAAGGGGTTGTACCATTTTGCACTCCCACTAGCAATGAATGAGAGTTTCTGTCATTCCTCATCCTGGCCTGCATTTGGTAATACCAATGTTTTAGAATGTTATTGTTCTAATAAGTATGTTATGGTAACTTACGGTTGTTTTAATTTGCAATTTTGTAATGATATATGATGTGGAACATTTTTTATATGCTTATTTGCGACCAGTGTATCTTGTTTTGGTGAGGTATCCCAATTTTTGTCTGTTTTTTTAATTGGATTATTTTATTATTTTGATTTTAAGTTGTTTTTTGTATTTTTTAGATAAGAGTCCTTTATCAGATGTGATCTTTACACATATTTTCTCCACGCCTATGGCATATCCTTTCATACATTGGACAGTGTCTTTCACAGAGCAGAAGTTTTTAATTTAATGAAATCCAATTTGTCAAGTATTTATTTCGTAGATTATGCCTTTGATGTTGTATCTAGAAAATCATCACTAAACCTAAGGTCTTTTAGATATTCTCCTATGATATCTTCTGGAAGTGTTACAGTTTTGTGCTTACATTTAGATCTGTGATCCATTTTGAGTTAATTTATGTGATGGGTATAAGACCTGTGTCTAGACTGACTTTTTTTTGCATGTGGATGTACAGTTTTTTCAACGTTGTTTGTTGAAAACCTATCTCTTCTCCATTGTGTTGCCTTTACTCCTTTGTCAAAGATTAGTTAGCTATATTTGTGTGGGTCTATTTCTGGGCTCTTTATTCTATTCCACTGATGATTTGTCTCTTCTTTCACCACTATCATACTGTCTTGATTACTATAGCTTTATGGTGAGTCTAAAAGTTTGGTAGTGTCAATTCTCCAACGTTGTTCTTCTACTTCAGTATTGTGTTGGTTCATCTGCAAGCTTTTTTCAAAATATTGCAAATCTAGAAAAAAATTTCCTATTTGTTTTTTCATTTGGCTCCATCAGATCTTAGTTACAGCATGGAGGATCTTTAGTTGCGACATGTGGGATCTCGTTCCCTAACCAGGGATCAAACCCGGGTCCCCTGCATTGGGAACATGGAGTCTTAGCCTCTGGACCACCAGGAAAGGCCCTCCAGTATATTCATTGAAAAAGAAAATGTGTGTTTGAATTAACCCACACTGTTCAAACCTATGTTGCCCAAAGGTCAACTGTACATAATGCACCTCAGATAACACTTTTAGCTGTTAGGTAGAGACCTTAACACATTTGGAACTGGCCATCAGGTACAGGAGCAAAGGACCTGAGGAAAGATAGCTTCAGACTAGGTGATCAGCTTCTAGTCTATAACTGCCTGTCATAGTTGACACTGATAAATATCTAATAAGTGGGTAAACTGGAGATGGCTGACTTTAAGTAAATATCGCAATATGAAGCTGACAAAAAGAACTAGTTTCAATGTGAAGCATTAGTGAAACCAGTTTAACAGGCTGTCTGTCTCCTGCCTCTAAGTAAAAGATGAGAAGGGGCTGAGTATGACCAAGAAGAGGCAAAATTCACAGACATCATGGCGGTCTAATTAACAGGAAGATGACTCTGTTATCTAGCTTGGGTGACTTACTGGTGATGCTGTTAATCAGGACAAGACTTTAAACAGGAAAAACAGGGTTTGAAGAGAATACAGTGAGTTCAGTTTTCATAGGTGAGTTTCATAGGTGAGTTTCATAGGTGAGTGAAGGGCCAGGAGGACCCCACAGATGAATGAGACTAGTAAGTAGCTGACAAATGTAGTTCTGGAGCTCAGGTGGGGTGTCCAGGCTAGAGAAAGAAGATAACCGTCATCAGAATCTAGTTTAAGAGCTGATATCTCTTTATTCCTATGCAGAGTAAAAAGAACCCAGATGATGTGGTGGATGTTACAGTCAAACACATGATAAAGGGTTAGCTTTGAAAAAGAGTATAAACATCTTGGGCTTCCCTGGTGGTACAGTGGCTAAGACTCCATGCTCCCAATGCTGGGAACCTGGATTCAATCCCTAGTCAGGGAACTAGATCCCTCATGCTATGACTGAGTTTGCATGACATACAGTCAAATAAATAAAGAAAAATATTTTTTTAAAAGAATATGAACATTTCTTATGATGAAGGAAAGAAATGTTAAAAGAACTAATGACTTAAGCTGTATTTTCTCACTGGCAATGGTCTGTTGAGGAATTGTGATATTTTTCATGATCTGAGAATGAATTCCAACAGAGGGAAAAAATGAAATAAATGCTGGTTAGCAATTTGAGGAGCCCAGCTGAGGGAGAATTTCAAAATGTAAGCATTGCTATGTACTAGTCATCACAGACCGCTAGAACAAAATACCACAGACTGGGTGTCTAAACAACAGAAGTTTATTTTCTCACAGTTCTGGAGGCTGGGAAGTCCAAGATCAAGGTGCCAGTGAGGTTTGGTTTCTGGTGAGGACTCTCTTCCTAGCTTGCAGACAACCACCTTCTTGCCGTGTCCTCCCATGGCTGATTGAGAGAGAGGGAGGGAGTATTCTGGTGTCTCATCCTTTGTTTAGTCACCAAGTAGTGTCTGACTTTTTGCAACCCCGTGGACTGAAGCATGCCAGGCTTCCCTGTCCCTCACCATCTCCCGGAGTTTGCCCAAGTTCATGTCCATTGAATCAGTCTCTTCCTTTAATACATTAATTTTATTGGATTAAGGCTCTACCTATGACTTCATTTAACCTTAATCACTTCTTATTCCAAATACAATCACATTGGGGTTTAGGGCTTCAAACTGTGAGTTTGGGGAGGACACAATTCAGTTCGTGGCATATATAATTCAGCACTATAATGTGAGTTCTTTTCCCATTTATACACAAGAGCAAGAGAAAAGAGAGATGGTTGAGTTGATCCAAATTTGGGGATTAGCAGGATAGACTGGAGAGGTCAAAGTGGCAGATGAAATGAGGGGCTGGTGAAAATATGGCTTAAAATTATTTCCCATGGGTTCCAAGAATGATGGAAAGGGAAGCAGCAAGGATTGGTAAGCTTCATGGAAGGTCCTCTCAGGTCTGGAGGCTGGAGAACAAAAGGGAACCCTTTATCATGCACCATCTCTGGGTAGAGTCCTTTCTTGGGATGTGATTGGTTGTTTCTGCACTTTCAACTTCACTGGCAACCAATGAGAATCATCAAACTGGAAAGATTTAGGTTCATTAGTGATAGCAATGATCACATTTTTCTTTCTTTTTAGACGACTAAATACATTGAACAAGTGTGCCTCAATGAAACTTGATGTGAACTTCCAAAGGAAAAAGGTAGGTATAACTTACTACACCTTACTAAGACTATGTCTCTACCAGCAGGACAAGCTGCATTCACAGATTAAAAACAACATGAACCTAACCAAAATTCTGAAATGACTGACCATCTATGTGTTTATTCTCCAAATATCTCGTCTTATCATAAGCATCATGAAAAAGCCTGATAGGAACCTAGGCTAACATCTGTTTCACTTTGCTTTAGTTTTGATCAGAGGGTTTGCATACAAACATAAAATGCCTTGTTTGTGATCATCTTTCAGAAGTTTGTTTAGCTGTAAATATCCACTCCATATTAGACTCAAGTTCTCCAGTGATTTGTAGATTAAGAGAATGAAGAACAGAATCTATGGGGCGGGTCATGCCAGGTGTCTTCTGCTTTATTCTTTCCTATGGCATTTTATTTCAAGTGCAGTTCAGGATGTGTTCATTGTCAGGCTGGTTCATTTCATCGTGGTTGAGCGGGTGGAGGGAGAGGGTAACAACAGGATTCAGAACTCGCCCCATCTCTCCATTCTCACCCCTTACCCTTTTCTCTAGTCACAGGGGACATCCTTCAGTTTCCTGAGTCACTACACTTCCTCTCTCTTATAGGACTTTGCAGGCATTTTTCTCTCTGTAGGTGTAAGGCTGGCAATTTCAGTTCTGAAACAAAGCTATACTCTATTGAGCACTTACTGTTTTCCACAAGCTATGTTATGGCATTTCATGCATTGTGGCAGAGGGTCTCTGTTTTCTAGAGAAGGAAAATAAAACCTGAACTGGCTAAGTCCCTTGCCTGTGATCTATTAGATGGTGGAGGAGCAGGGTTTCAACTTCAGGTGTGTCTGACTCCAAAACTGAGGCCCATAACCACTGTGCTGAAAGACCTCTCTTTCTCACTGAATTGATCCTTTTAGGAAACTCAGAATTAAAATCGTTAGCTACTTTTTTCATTTCACATCTTCAGTATATAACAAGTCAAGCCTCACTATATTTTGAAGAAGCAGAGAAAACATCCCTGAGTTGTAAGAAAGTGTTCTTTATTCTGGCCTACACAGAGAAGTCATTACAACCCATGGATTTTAAGTCACTCCCGAGTAACCAAATCTTTAAAAATAACTTTAGCCTGACTTTCTGCTCTAAAATAGCACCCAAAAAGAAGCGCAAATGAATTTTGGTTGACCTCACCTTCAAAACAATTTGGAGTTTGAGCTAGGAACCAAAGATTCAAGCTAAGGAGGTAAAATAGTGAAAAACAATATCCAGAGAATATATTAAAACATGGGCAATTTGTCCAGGTCAAAGAAAAATGAAAAATGTGGGAATAAACGTCCCAACAGCTGTCTGGCTGAATAGAGCCCTTGAGAAGTACATACACTGAAGCAGGAAGGTCAGATGTTGTTTTGGTTGTAACACATGGTTCTTATTAAACCACGCGCAGCCACGCCTGTGTGGCTGGTCTGTCCGGCTGCCAGTGCAGATCCTTAGCTGCTATGTATCACAAACACAAATGCCAAAAACTAACAGCATGATTTGTTTTCAACCAAGTGGTATGATTGAATTCTTCCCTTATCACCAGCATTTCAAAACCCACATGTGGGACAGGCTTGAATAACATGCATTAGGCCGTGTTACCTTCACAGAAGCTCCTCTGTAAATTGGTCCCTTCGGCATTCTGACATTCTTAATTTATGCCTTTCGTTGGGTATGGTGGTATATACCCTTACAGTCCCTACTTAGCTGTGGGCCCCACGGATGCAGGCACTTGGATAAAACAGGGCTTTCCACATTGTAATGTAGGGACTCGTGGCCTGAATTTTGAAATAAATAAATCCAGTGAGTGGTCTCCACCCACTCGTGAATCTTAGNTATACCCTTACAGTCCCTACTTAGCTGTGGGCCCCACGGATGCAGGCACTTGGATAAAACAGGGCTTTCCACATTGTAATGTAGGGACTCGTGGCCTGAATTTTGAAATAAATAAATCCAGTGAGTGGTCTCCACCCACTCGTGAATCTTAGTCGTGACGCGCATTGGAGGCTGTGGTCTAAGCAACTACATAGAAGACCCTGGTGGTGGCACGTGTCCCTGTGATCTGCTCCTTACACAAAGTCACAGACCAGTCCTTTGTTGTTGTTCAGTCTCTCAGTTGTGTCCTACTCTCCATGGCACCATGGACTGCAGCACTCCAGGCTTCCATGTCCTTCACTATCTCCAGGAGTTTGCTCAAACCCACATCCATTGAGTCAGTGATAGCATCCGATCAACTCAACCTCGGTCACCCCCTTCTCCTTTTGCCTTCAGTCTTTCCCAGCGTCAGGGTCTTTTTCCAATGAGTTGGCTCTTGCATCAAGTAGCCAGAGTATTGGAGCTTCAGCCAATCTTTTATTTTACTGCAAAAAAACACTAAATGCAGACTAGGACCAGGCTAAATGATCAAAAGCAGAAAGTGAAACTTGAGAGCCAAGCACCACGGGAGCTTCATCCAACTGTGGAATTAGTTTGTTTGGCAGAAGGGGAAAAAAGACAGTAGCGTTTCCTCTGGGTTTGTCCCTATTTTAATCAATCCAAGAAACAGAAACACAATGCTCACCTCTAATCTGCAGAGGCCCAGACATGTTAAATTCCCCAGAATGTCATCCCCAAATGGCTTCACCACCTGGGAACACGGTCATGCTTCTCCCTCCAGGGCCCCAGAAGGCTGTGTGTGCTTCTTAGAACTCTGTGGTGTGGTGAGCAGGTGCCACACCCAGTACCGCTGCTCATCACTAACCGCACATCACAGATGCAGAGATTGAAGGACAGGGAAGCCGAGTAACTTGCCCAGAGCCACTCAGAAACGGCACAGTCAGGATCTGAACCCAGCTGTTCTGCCCCTCCTGGCCCTTGAGAGAGATTCAGAAATGTATTGTCATGAGCTTCTGGCCCTTGGCCTGAGACCCAGAAGGGCTTCCTCAGCAATATATACAATTAGGTATTTTTATTGTTGTTTTAGAAGAGGGATATTTCTTGCTTTTTGTACTCAAGTCCACAATTTATTTAATGTCTTCATGGAAATTTACCTTTGGATCTCTCGTGGTTAAAAGAGCCATGAATTTCATTGCTCTGCTTTGAATTTGGTTCTCACCTGATTTTGTTTAATTCTGAAGAATTTGGTGGTTGACCCAAGATAGGGGAAAAAAAAACAAAACAAAATCCACAAATAGATGACAGTGGTGAAGCCTCATTCATACTTACTTAGGCATGCACTTTCCTTGTACATCAAATGCCACTCACTCGTAAAGCACCAGGACAACTGAAATCGCACCTTGCCACTTTGCAGAAGAGAAAAGCAGCCCTCTAAAGATTCAAGATTACTTTCCCCATGAGAAGCAGGTAGAGTGTCCTCAATCTTGGCCATGCATCTCACTGAAAGACTTACTAAACCCCTGCATTTCTGAGAGCCTGAGGACCCAGCCATTGCCCACCTCTGGCCTCAGGCTCTTCCTCTTGCAATGCTGCAAGTGGCAGGGCCCTGCTTCTGAACAGGAGGGCTCAGACACTCAGCTCCAGTCAAATTTAATGGGAGATACATGTCTAAATTTCCATGTACTTGTGGAGTAGCCACCTCTTACATCTGTGGGCTCGTATGGGCTCCTGTTTCCAGTGTCTGTTTTTGGCATTTGTCTCTGAAGCATATATAATTTCAGCTACGAATGTTCTCACTTTTTTAGAAAAAGCCAAAAGAAGTTTGAAGTTTCCTCTAAATTAAAAACACCAAGGCACATGCAAAGCTACTCTTTCTCAGAAAACAGTTTCTTCATTATGACCTACAGAATTCATACTTGCTTTATGATGACACTGAAATCCTCTCATTACAGTCAGTGTTAGTGTGATGTGGGTTCTATTCAAAGTTAAAGTCAGAGACTGAAGACTCCAATAAGGATCTCTGTTAAATGAGGAAAGAGTGAGATGCATACACAGGACTCCTACCTAAGATTTCCTGAGGGAAGACAAGCGGCTTCAAAAGAAGGTCCTGGTTAAAGTCATAGTTTTAATAAAGTTCTCTGAAATCATGACCCCAAGGTGGAAAGCAACACAGAAACCATGACTAATTGCCACGTTGCAGCCAGTACCTCCTGGCCTGGATGCCGTGGGCATTTCAGAGGAGCTGCAGCTGTTGTCAGGGGGGCTGGTCTGAGCCTCCGCCTGCACCCTCCCCCCCATTGCCTTTCATAACCTCAAATGTCCCACCAAATAAGACACCACCTGGCAGCTCCAAACAGCAGAGTCAAATGAGAGAAGTTACATATCATTCCATCATTCCCTTGGCTGGAGAGTAGTACATCTTACATTGAAGAGTGTTATGTGTGAATATCCTCGAACCTGGATCTTTGAGTGAGAGAAGCTCTTCTCTCATCTTTTCCAACCTCTTATGCAGCACAGGATTTACTTTCAGAGCATCCAACAATTCACTCAGCCTCTGTTTATAAGCACCTAGACTTGAGTTCATTACAATGCAAGGCGATTTATTTTTTCCTAAGCACTGGAAGTCTTCCATATAATAAGCTAAAAGTTGACTTGATGTAAACGTGCCCGTCTGATTCCAGCTCTTCTCTCTGGAGAGGCACAGAATACGGATTTCTTCTTTGTCTAGACCAGAGCTCAGCAAGCTACTGCTCCTGCTTTGGTAAAGAAAGTTGTACTGGAATAAAGCCACACCCATTCTTTTGGCTGCAAAGGCAGAGTTGAGTAGTTGTAATGTTCTAATATTTACTATCTGGCCCTTTACAGAAACTTTTCTAACCTCTGTTCAATCTAGAACAAAATTTCTTAAACTGTCTACAGTGAATGATCAATTTTTAAAAAAATTCCCAGCCTGCCACCGACCAAGATACTTTTGTAAAATTCATTACAAAACAATTATTAGAAACATGAGTGATATTAGAAATATGAATGATACAATCATTAGATAATCTCTAATGATTGTACTAGAGAAAATACAAGACTAAATGTTTTATTAGACTTTGAAGATA